GGACGATCTGTTAAACAACGTCTACATTCCTTGCCTGATCGGTAAAATTTCCAATTGTTCGAATCTGCTCTCTATACTGATACATATGTACTCTATCCTAAGGAAAAAAATCTGCACGCACAGAACAAATTACGTATTGCTAATCACAGAATTAATCAAGAAGATGTCGATGTTAAGAAAATCCAATCCAATGTATTTAAGAAGCACCGTAAACAATTTGTTGGACCGAGGAACAATGATATTAAATCTTGTATCCGCCCGACCGAATCTGTTAACGTTGAAAAATCAGAGTGAGATCATAACAAAAGTTAATAATTTTGTGGAACCTATCGATCAAATATTATTAGCTCCTTTGTTACAAAAAATCCTACGTGGCACTGTGAAGGACGTAATTCAGAACTATGAAAGACGTTGCTCCACCATATATCAACTAATATATACGAATTCGCAACGTAAATCCGACTTGTTCAAATTCAATCAGAAAGCCTTATTACGTCACATGATGCTGCATGCCACTGAGGACGAGTACAAGAACTTCGCTATCGAGATGACGATGGTATCTTGGTCTTACTTTGGCTGGGCCAATGAACTAGAGGCGTATGAGAATGTATTGCACATTACTGCCGAGGCGATGCAGCTCGCCTTAATCTTTACAGATACCTTTCCCAAAGATTCATTTGTTTCGCTTCTGCGTGCCCTCATGCACTATTGTAACACACTCTTATTCCTCAAGCACCAGATATGTAACAACCAGGAAATACTCTTCAATGTCCTATCAAAGACTCTATTCTCTTTGAAAAGTGCAGTCAACGAGACACAATATGGCAAGATATATGACAATTTGCTGGAACATATCAACAACATGTGCGTCGATGCAAATTATAGGATTAGAGATTATTTTCGCAAGATCAGCGAGTTAATCGAAATACACTTTGTACGATCTGAAAAAATCGAGAAGTAAGTGAATAATAGTTTTTTTTTCTTTTGGATTTAGTTTTTTTAAAATAAGAATTTTCTTTTTCTTTTTTTTTCAATTTTTTATTTCATATGAATTTTTATTTTCTATTAGATAATTCCCTAATGTAGAAAACAATAAAAATAAATTTTAAAATTTTTGAATTATATTTTAGAATATATATGTGATGTTTTAAAATAATATTTTCCTAAAAATAACTTTTTAAATTTTCCGCAAGACATTTGATCGGCTTTGCGACTATCTATAGTTATTTAAACTCCACTGCGTTTCTATAGGTTTTCATTTTTTAATTTTATTACAATTCTAATATTTTAATAATTCTTACAAAATTTTGTTGATGAAAATTAAATATATTATATTATATAAAGTGACAGAACGACAGAATTTTATTAAATTGCAAAATGTAATAGATTATTGTTAATTGTTTTAATTATTTTAATTAATTTAAATTAATTTTTATCTATTTTATATTTTTTATATTGTTTCTATTAATGAATTTTATAAATTAAAATAATTTTGTATTATACAATAAAATATTATTTATAGATAATGAAATATTAAAATATTGTTTTTAAATATTTGTTACATATATAGAAAAGAAAAAATAGAAATACAGTGTATTATAATAATAATTCTGATACATAAATAATGTATCAGATGAATGTTTTACAAAATATAGGAACACATGTATCAAAATATAGAATTTATATACTTTAGATAAAATGTATTATGTAGAAAATAAAATGTGATAATTTTTATATATGTTTCAGTGAGAGTTCAGACAATTTAGTATATACGAGTTTGTCGCTTCTCACTTCTACTACAAATGAAATAAGTGACATGTTCAAGGCATACCAATTCGTATGTGATTGTATTGACGATATAATTCATCTGAAAAATAAGTACTTTGTAACTGATTATCGAACAAATGTGAGATTTCATACGCTTGGAAGGATAAATTATCTTTAATAATGCATAAAAAAAATATTTGCATTGTTTCTGTTGGAATAATTTTATACATAAAAGAATATTTTTTTCAATGTTATAATCAAAGTACGTCTCATTTGTGAGACTACTTCTGTTTCGATATATTGAATCAATCTGTATAATATCATTAATAATCGTTTTGTTGTATGGATTATTTTTTATACTATATACTCGCTGTGTAACTGTTAATTATTTGTAAAATTATGTATTGTTGATTGAATGTTTTAAAAATTCTATACAATTTTTCTGAAATGTAGAAATTTTAAAGCTTTATTTTTGTTAAAACAAGTTTTTAAACCTTCTATTATGTATGTTATTGGAAAGAAAAAAAAATACGAATGTATTTTACTAAAATACTTACCTTTTTTATTCTTAAATATAATTTTTTCAAATTTTTAAGACGTTCGATCGGCTTCCCTATAATTTTTCTAACTGAATATCGATTATCTTAGTACTTACCGTTAAATATCGAAGTGTAAACCTAGTGTTATATATGAGATAAAAAAAAAATATTTAAGAACAGTTTTCTATGCAATGAATAGTATTGTAACTGCATTTGTATATTTTGTAATGACACTGTGCGTCTTTATTTATAATAATTTTCCAATGTATATATACGCAACAAACGTTGTAACATCAATATATATAGTTTTATATTCATTCAGCGATTTATATTTAGTTAACACTGTTTCTATACTAAAATTTATTCAAAATTTTTGATTTTTTAAACAAAAATTTATAACATTGTACAAAAAATTCTCCTAAAAAAGTTACAATTTGAATATTGCAGTTATGATACTTTTCATTGCTTCCATTTGTTTAAATTAATTTTTATCTATTTCGGAAAAAAATGTTCATTCTCGCGTAAATTATGTGATATTTTAATAATATTTAGCATTTAAAAAAATAGATGTGTAATATGAGACGGAGGCAATGAAAGATTTCTCAACTGTGCAAAAAACTGATTCACATTTGTTATTGCGAAAACAGTGATTTTCTATTTGCAAACCGGATCTGAGTCTACCTCGTGTACATAATGAATGTATATATGTAATAAGCATTGGACTGATAATTGATTAATAAAATACACGTGCAAAAGATACAAAATGAAATATAAAAAAATTTTATTTGAACCATATAGGCGAGCTTTAACTTAATCGAGTCTTTTTCTTAATCACAATTATAAAATTTTGTCATCGTATAAACCGAATGACGAGTAGTTCTCTAAATTCGATATCTTGACATTATATTATGAACTTAAAAGTAATAACTTAATTGATTTTCTGTGTAAATAGTTTTAAGTTGGAGCATAATTCCGGAAAAAATGATTTAAAATGAAATCGATCGAAACAGTAAGATTATAAATATACGCTTTTTTGAGTTTGGAAAAAAATGTATGTATACACTCAGATTTTTCGACGCAGAACTATATCCAATTGATAGCTATTGATTTGAAAATTTTAACGCTATATTTGTGCGACAGTGCCAAATATCATGATGAGAAGTAAAAAAAGAAATAGAGAAAATTGCGAAGAAAGAAAAAATGTGCATTATCTTGAAGACTTCTGAGTTTAAATTTCTTATATTAAAATTGAAATTCAAATAATAAATTATTAGATGAACGGAGCCTAAGAGTCACTTCGATATTTCTACGATAATTATACGTTTTAATTAAAAATATGATAATTATATATTTTAATTAAAAATATTTTTTTCAATAGGATAAGAAAAAGAAATTGCATTTTTTGTTCAGGAAATATCTGAAGAATGCATATGTAATTGCGACTTATGAATGCTTAACTCATTCGTTCATGACTAGATCATCATGCTGGTACTCCAACATAAAAGCGTATTAAATCTATCACTTTGTTGTCCAGTTAATAAAAAAATATTCTGTGATGCTCTCTTCGACCGAAAATATTTTTAAATAATTCGGATATATTTTAAGATAATAATTATTAGCAAGCAATTTCTCACTACGAAGGAAAAAAATAGAAATATAAATTAATAATAAGAAAATGATTCTGTATTGTAACATTCTAGTTTCGTCTACTCATGTAATTTTTCAACTTATAATAAGATTCTACACAATTATGCACGAAAGAACGAGACTGCACTTAGTCCAGTGTGCAATGCACATTTTCTTTTTCTTTCACGAATAAAAGATATTCACTCTGAAATACTTCGCATCTCTTTCGGAAGTTTCAAGATAATTACCTTTTATTATATTTATATATATATATATACTTCGACTCGCTATATTATATATTTACAGATTCTTCACATTGTAAAAAATATATAACGCATTTCGTACTCAATATATCAGATATATATATGTATATATACGCAGGTAATAGTACTGAAAGGCCGATATACACATATCTAAATCGTGGTGTTTTTCTTTTTTTTCTCTTTATCTTTTCACCAATTACTAATTAATGTGTGCGTAACCCGATTGCATGACAAATGCACATGTGTCTGCAACTGTATGTGAATTACAGTGAGTATGTCTTTGCATATTGCATCTTTCTCTTTCGATCTTTTTCTTCGACATGTAGGAAGATAATAACTGATTCACTGATCATAAGTAAAGTGAATAATTAAGAAAAGAAAAACAATTCTGGTCCTTAGATGTATGATATGCTGGCCGACTCCAGGTATGGCGCAATCCTTTTTCTTTTTCCCTTTAACGCTTCTCCGCCGGTGATAGCTCCCCAAATAAAAACGATTCTGTTATTAGAATTCATGTCATAGATCATTCATGCGACAACGGTTTTCAGACCGCCACCTTAAAAAAATAGCGCGCGCAATCTCGCAAATTTCATGAATTGGACGCGCAAGAGGCACGTGGCGTGGCCTCTCTTCATATAAATATATAAATAGATTTTTCAAGTATATCAAATACTTGGTGAGCTATCTAGGCAGACGACGGCCTTGTAATCCGTACTTCATATCATGTGTGTATGTATGTATGTATACGTGTTTCGTATGTATAAAACAGGGCGAAAAACGCAAGGAAGTATACAAGTCAGGCGACGACGATCAAAACGCTTTATAAAGAGGCCCTCCGATCGAAGCTGGGTGAAGACTTCGATTATTGTTATCCGATATACAAAAGGTGCGATGTTACGACTACGGGATCACAGCGAGACTAAGAATTTTTCACGTTATTGTGACAAAATAGCGGCTTCATGAAACCACTGCGCCTGCTCTTATCCTTCATTTCTTGACACGCGAACCGCGAGATAACTCACGACCGCGGTTTCCGGCGCCTCAGCAAATTCTTTTTTCTTTGTTTTTTTTTCTTTTCTAATATTAAGGCCCGGAATAAAACTACAGAGAGCACCATTCGAAAAAAGTATACCGAAAGGGTCTTTGCGTTATTCAACGCAACATTAAACGCTCGTTCGAAGTATATGAACAATTATTTCTTCCTGATACTTAAGAACGATCTAACTATCAATCGTAGAAATACTGTACATCAGTTCATTCTCATCTTTTTTTATTCTTTTTTTCTTTAACTCTTAATTCTCGCAATTTTCTCCGAAAGTTGGAAAATAGTATCGCGTATACTATTCAGACAATACAATTTGCGTTAAAATTTATAATGCCGCATTTACAAATTAGAATTGGGAGGGCTATACAAAATTACAAATACATTTTTGTCAGAAGCGAAATATCCTTCGGTAAAATCAGTAGAAAGATATTAATATCAAACGATCTTCGTCAATTTTTATTTTTGCATTTAACCCTCGGATGTGCTTTCTAAATAATTCTCTCGAAAGTTTAAAAAGATTCAAAGTTCAATTAGATAAAGATATAATTTGAATTCTTCTAAAAATTAAATCTAGACGATAGGAAAGATTCGATCTCATTGAAAATATCATGAAAAAGTAATAATTGCTCCAATAATGCATCCAAGAGTTAAATGGCAATATATTGAACAATATATATGAATGTTGTTACGATGCGCGCGTCGAGAAGCGGTGTTTATCTGATAATACAATTTTGATTACATGAGAAAAATTACACACACTACTTGCCAGTTATTCATAAAATTAATCGAACGTTTTAAAAAAATTTCGTCAAATCTTTTACTATGATAAGAACAAAACGGAAGAGAAATTCTATATGTTTTCAAAAATGTGCAAGTAATGCATCTATCGAAATTGCAACATAAAGAATAGAAATAAAACATATGAATATCTAAAGAGATAATTTACAGAGCATAATTATATCTAATTATACAACAAGAAATGATTGTGAAATAATTTAAAAAATAAATGCTATAATTTCATCTATAGAATTTCTTCACATTGCAAATTCAGTAAATAGTAATTGCACGTTTCTAAAATAAGTGTGCAATTGTTTTCGAAATTTTAAAATTAATCAATCTTATGAGGAGTACCATTGCTCTCTAACTTCTCCTACATCCATCGATTATTTTTTTACATTCGAAACTCGACAACAGTTTTGAACGATTCTATGGATTTCTTCTCTTCGAAAGCAATGCCAACAACGAAAAGTATTGTAATTTAGAATATTCACAATTATTTTATTGTATTTTAGAATATTCACAATTATTTTCTTTTAATATCTTTTGTAGAACATTACGAGGAATTCTTAGAGAAGTTTTATTCGGATTCTGTGATTTTTCACGAGGCCTCAAGGATAAAAAAAATATTTTTGAAATTAAGTCACAGTCTTGCTATTACGATACTTTTCATATTGGTGTAGTCGTGAACGAGCGATGAATAAAAGCACATACGTGATTTTTGCAGTTGAAGGGATCAATGCGAAAAACCGGCGCACCTTCCGGAGATTTCTAATTCTACTATTGTGCTCTGTCATTGGTGTATAAGATCACTCGTTAAAAAAAACCGTCATCAATCCCATAGTGATCGAATGTGCAGTCTTGCGGCCTATGTAGTACAAATTTTTTTTTTACCGTACAAAGCTTACAAATTATGAGTTTAGATTGACATTATTACGTTAACTATATCTTTACGAAACGTTTTTTCTTAATATTTTCCCGTTATCGTATTTACATAATATAATCTGCAATGTTACATTTCAACAAACTAGAGGCAAGTCTTTAACTCTGGCCCTTAGTCATTAATTTTGTAATCATCACGATATATTAATTTGCTCACTTCTGCGCATATGAGTTTGCAAATACGGTATTGCGTATCAAACATCTTGGAACAGACATAAAAGCAAAACAAAAGTAAAGTATTAGTACTTGCTACACAATGGATCACAAGAAATCTCACAACAGCTGGATTATCCGTTAACCACTGAGGTGTCGCGTACAAAACTTAATTCTCAGTGCCTTTCCTTTATGCACAGTAAAATAGTTCAATGTTAGGACTGTACAACCGACATACAGGATGATTTTGATCATTTGAAATATCTTAAAAAACATTTTTAAATATTTCAGAACCAAATCATTTGATACAAAGAAACAAATATCATTAAAATGATCCTCAAATTGAATAATTTTTTTCTGAAACATTTTTCTGTGTATATCCTTAATAATGAAGACATTTCAAATGATTAAAGGTGAAACACCCTGTGTATAAATGTCACTAACAACGTCTCGTACAAAAATGTTTAGACAATAGGTATCTCGCTAATCAGCCTCCTTAGCTTAAATTAACACAGAACAATTGCACAGAGAAGAGTACTCTCAAAACCGAACCACTTTCATCAAATCAGATGGATTTGATTGCATAGCCTTCGCACGACTGCATACAAATTATACGTACAGGATTAAACCTCGCTCAAACATTTAGTTTGGCTCGCTGAAACTATCACCATGCTAGAACAATCATCACAGTGATTCCTTCAAAGTGCGAATAATCTTTCTTTTTTTTTCTGCGCAGCACCTAAATCTCCATTTGTGGACGAGAACGCGAACCTACGTGCGACGATTCTGTCTGAAATTGAGCAGAAAGCCGATATCGAGTTTGGTTTTACGGTTTTCGACACCTTCTCCTTTCTCGCGAGCGGAGTATTGGTCCTTTTGCCGAGGAAAAGCTACCTTTTGCTCGCTCCTTCTCTCTTAAATCTTATCTATATTATTTATATATATATATATATATATATGTATATATATTACAATAATATTACATATATAATATTATTCGCGTATAATAAAATATCTGTGTTTAACGGCCGTCTCTCGCCGGACGGTCTTCCGAAAGTTAGAAAAGAAGAGAACCATAGTTTCCATTTTGGAAAATTCATACAGCGTCCGATATAAGTTAGCCTTGACAGATGCACAGCACATCTCAAGGTTGATAGGACATCCAAAAGATGGTTCTTCAAAAGGTGATCCTCCAGGACGACGTAACACGTTGACGAGAGCTCTGCCCATAAGCCACTGTACACTGTATCATCTTTCCTTAGCATGTTCCTCAGCAGACCAAGTAAGAGATGCAAAAAGAATCCCCTTAGCAGAACGGTGAAAAACCACGTCGTCGAGTTAACGCCGACGAGCTCTTTCCCCGAAGCACTGTACACACTGTATACCTCCATCACCTTAGTTCGGTCCGCGGGTAAATAATCCGGGCGAACGTCGATTTTGATTAAGTATTAGAGGACGCTGCAACAGCAATAGGTCTTCTTCTCCTTCTCAGGACTGAAGTTCATCTCGCGCACAATCTCAGCAAACATCTCGTTAACGTTGGTACGGTTCTTGGCGCTTGCCTCGACAAACGGACAGCCCCAGAGTTGCGCGAGCTGATGGCCTTCCTCGGTGCCGACCTCCCGTTGGTGTTCCAGGTCGAGCTTGTTCGCCACAAGTAGCACCGGCACGCGTTCCGTACCCTTGACACGCGTGATGAGCTCCTTCATCGCCTTGATATCCTGAAAGGTTTGATGATTCGTCAAGCTATATACTACGACGAAACCTTGACCGTTCTTGATGTACAAGTCGCGCATCGACGCGAACTGCTCGGTGCCGGCGGTGTCAAGGATCTCGAGGACACATGGCGAGTTGTCCACCTCGATTTCTTTACGGTAGAAATCCTCGATCGTTGGATCGTACTTCTCCATAAAGCAACCGGATACGAATTGGACGGTGAGTGCGCTCTTGCCCACCCCGCCCGAGCCGAGGACCACCACCTTGAACTCGCGCATCTCGCCGTCGTCGTCGTCGCCGTCGGCTCCTCCGCGCCTCCTTCCGCGACGTCGCCACCACCACCTCCTAGACGTGTCCAGGACCGCGCCGGGGTGTGGAGAGCCGTTTCACTCGAGGAGAGAGAGAGAGAGAGAAAAAAAGAGAGAGAGAGAGAGAACAAGAGAGAAGGAGAGAGAGAGCGCGAGAGAGACAGATAGACGGAGCAAGATTGTCGCACCTTCTCTCACGAGTATATACACTTCACTTCCACTGGCTATCAGCTAGGCTATGGGCACGAGGTTCCTCTTAGCCCTCGTCCTCGTCTTCGCCTCGTCGCGACGGCAATCCGCGCCCGTCCTCCTCCTCCCGGTCGCGAACAAAGGCATCGACGAAACTGGCCGTAGTCTGGCTGGCGGACGAGACGAGAGAGAGAAAAAGAGAGAGAGATAGACGGATCACGCGAAACGAGAATCGACCTGCGCCGTCTCGTAGTTAGGCTGCCTGGATATTACGGCGACTACGCGGCTACGCCAGGACATGACACAGGCCGTCTCTCCGTCTGCACGTTCTATACGCAGGCACATATACGACGACACAGCTCTCATCCGTGCCTGCCTGCCTGCCTGCTTGCGCCCGCCTGTCGTCTACCTCCTCTTCCTGCCCACACCCCTTCCTCCTCGAACCCCGCTGCACCGACCGCTCAGCCGCGATCTGACGTGCGCGACGCCGCCATCTTATTGTCGCCGTCAGGCTTTTCTTCGAATGAACGTCACGTCGTCGCGCAGATCATCGACTGTTCGCGTACTCTAGATGTCGTAAGCCTCGAAAACACGCTACGTATTCACGGAAAGCCCGTATATATTTGCAGCCGTTGACTGTGCACTGGAGACGAGTGCAACGTTCTGTTTTATTAAATTCAGAGGCTACTTTGATTCCCGTTTCGTAGAGTAAATTTGAATTAACAATTCCTTTGGCACGATTTTATTGAGGGTTAAATAAATTTGGAGTGTTTATAGATTGCAACCAAACTCCGATTTAACTTAATCAGTGGTTAATTCAACTTTTATTCGATGATTGCAAATTTCTCTGATACCTTGCTTATCGTGTGTCGGACAAAAATTAATAATTTTGTAAATATTAATAAAATACTGCGACAAGTTATATTTTAGGCATTGCACGCAATGGAAGAAATATCAGGTATAAATGTCAGACATAAAAAAATTAGAAAATGAATATATAGAAATTTGTAACTTACAATGAATAAATAAAATACAAGACAAATATTACGTTTAATTTCTATTCCTAATTTTTTTATTTTATTTATTATTAATATTATTTTAAATATTAATTTATTAATATTTACTCTTGTTTCTAATATTATTGTCCTATACAGTATACATTTTATCTGATAAGAACGTTCCAACAAAAAATGGACTAAAATGGATTGAAATTTTTTTTCTATCCGAATGCATATTTAAAAAAAAACAGTGAATACTTTTTTTTTTAATTTAATTAGATTCAATTAGATTCAATTAGATTCAATTGGATGCAATTGGATTGAAAAACTGCATTTTCTATTCAAAATTTTGAATTAAACAGTATTCACAATGCACAGAAAAAGTTAATATTATTTTTAGATTGAAAGGCATAGAAATATACTTCATGCAATTCCTATAAATGAATAAAAATGCATTCAGGATTGAAAAGCATTCATTTTAACATTCGTGAATCAATATTTCTGAAAATCTGAATCCATTTCTGGGGTCCTTAAAACAAGAATGTTCTCTGGACAATGAATGGTCTATAGGACATCTCTAAAAGATTTGTGTATGGGATCCTTACTCGATAAGTTAAATTAATAATAAATTCGATCACTTGCATTACACTAGATTAGATAGTTTATATTAAAAATTGTTACATATGAAATTAGCAAAGTTAAATACAAATCATATAAATACTTAAAACAATTAAATATTCAATAATGATATTATTATCTTGTTATTTAAGAATATATATGTATTATTTCATTGTGAAAATCTATAAGTAAACAAGCTAACATTTTTAATATCATTTTAATGTCAACCCTGTAAACTGAGAATAAAGAATGCGTACTTTAAATAGAAAAATCTTTTTTATATTCAATTGGATTAAAAAACTGCATTTCTTAACTAAAATTTTTAATTAAGCAGTAATCACGATCCACTTTTAAAAACTGAACTTATTTTTGGATTGAAAGTATAGAAAATGTACTTCATGCAATTTCTATAAATGAATAAAAAGGCATTAGGTATTGAAATGGATTCAGATTTTCAGAGATATTCGCGAATCTTTTTTAATTCATTTTAATTGATTTTTATTTATTGGAAAATGATATTGAGAATGTCATTTTGATGTCAAATAACATTGACTTGTTTGGAATTTATTATATATATTATGTCACTGAAGATATTTTTATGTCAAGCAACCTTTGATGTGCATCCAATATAGTGCGACTGATCGAATTCATTATGAAATTAATCGAACTTTGGCCGCAGTCGTATCGCATTCGAAACGAAAAATCCCGTGATTTCCTTCCTTTTTTGCAGTGTCGCGATTCAAACGTATCAGTAAAAAAATGGTGTGTAAATGACGAGTTAAAAATAATCATTGGTAGCCGGACTGTAATTATACCTTCCAGTACCCGTTTCAAATTGCTGTAAGCAAAAAATATCTCGCTCCATAATAATCGACGGTAAATAATCATGACAGAGTGAAGTTATACGCGGTTCACTCCGTGGGTCGCAGCAGGAAAAATCGTCGACTTCAAGATGCGTTTTCAAACGGATCGCGTGTCGATTGGCCACTCCGACGAGTTCAGGCCAATCGCGTGCCACCATGGCGATCGACTCGAGGAACACCTGTTCCTTTCGATTCCTTGTATTACCCTCCCTATACTTTCCGCACTCATGATTTTGCTTTCTTTTTGTTTCAAATTGTAAAAATCAGCGTTGAACAGACAGATACATAACTCTAAAATTTGTTTCAGTTACAACTACCACGCTCTCGGTCTTCATCTCCACGAGATGCGGAAATAATAATAATATTCGAGCATCTAAATTTCGTCTGTAAAAAGAGTGCAGAAGAAATAAACTCGCCCATCTTGCAGTATTGATGGCGAGAGGAGAAGGGAGGGAAACGATCAGCCGTGAGTCGAGAACGGAGAAGCTTCCCTTCGTTCACCGGATGTGAATGTCATTCTCTCATATCTGTCAGAGACAACGTTATCCACGACCTTGCCGAGGAGCAGCCGAAGAGGAGTGAGTTACATCTCTCGTAGCATTCGTGTTGTAGAATACGATACTTATTACATATTAGTATGCGTATGTACGAGTATGTCCGGCGCCGCTCACACGTATACGCATGGTTACTCGTGACATCGTAAATTCACTGAGGTTATACCGCGCACAAACGGTACATCCACGGTATACTGACTCTAAAAAAACAAATTAAAAACTTCAAGATATACTCTCGTTGACAAGGGACGAGCGAGAGTAAGAATGATCGCGATCACATCCGAGTATAACTATTTATTTCTTCTATAAATTATGAATTTTAATTTATATCCATTATAGGCATTTTTTATAATAAATTAGATATAATTAATAAATAATATAAATATAATTTATATATTTTAATATTTATATAATATTTAAAATATATCAATTTGATATAATAGTATAAAGATTATAATGTATTAATATTGATTAAAGATTATAATTATAAATTGAAAAATAAATTATACGCTGGACATAATATTTATATTTTTATTGCTCAGAATATATAAGTTGAAATACGTTATTAAAGAACCGTAGTAGGATTTCATAAATGTTTAAAGAACCATAACACCGCGATGCCACTCAGCGTTGCAACAATGAGCTCTTTAATGGCTAATTGGCGTAATTTGAGGTATTTCGCAAATGGGAGATAGAGCTTTGCAGAACTAATGTAAGTTACTTCATATTTTCAAAGCAATTTCTACGTCAACTGAAATAATAATTTATAAAAATAAAAATTGTCGCAGCATCTTCATAACAATTTTGAATTTATGTTAAGGACATACGTATCAGCAAATAATTATTATATTTTTATATACATATAATAATTATTTGCTGGTATGTTACAAAATAATTGTGATAAAAAGATGCATTTTTAATTTATCCTTAACAGAAATTCAAAATTGTTATGAAGATGCTGCGACAATTTTTATTTTTACAGGATGTCTCAGAATGACCGTCAAATATTTCGTGCTGATAGAACGGACTAAACTGAATCAAAAATTCCTCTACCATTTTTAATTTTCGCAATAGTTAACGAGATAATACGATATTTAATAATTACTAAAAATTACCGAATATTGGTTTTCAATAATTCTTTATTTAAACACTAGCCACTTTACAGAAAAACAGCAAGAGATAAAAATTGTGTATTTTCTTCTCATAGAGCTCTAAGAATTTTTTTAGAATTTTTTCTTATATATTGGCAACTATTTTTATTAACATAAGAAAAATTCTGAAAAAATTTTCAAAACTCTATGAAAAGAAAATAAATAATTTTTATCTGTTGCTATTTTTTTTTTATAAAATATTTAATGATAGTATTTGAATAAAAAATTATTGAAAACCAATATTCGGCAACTTTTAGTAATTAATATCTTGTTAACTATTGTGAAAATTGCAAATGGTAGACGACTTTTCGACTCATGTCAGTTTAGTCCACTGTACTACCACATGAAATATTTGGCGGTCATTCTACTGTAACTTTGTGTTACATACATGTTAAATGTAATATGTAATATGTGTACTATAAATATTATATATATTATCGCAAAATAATGTAATAAAAGTTTATTTATGAAACAATGTGAAAAGAGATTCATTTGTGTTATATTCATTTGTGATATACATCATAGATTAATTGTGTAAGATATGACACAAATGAATACAAACGTATTGTGCAAAGTATGTTATAAAGCACAAAAAGTTGATATAAAGAAATATGTTTTAAACATGTTTTAAACAGTTTAAAACATATTTAATCAATATTTTAAACATGTTTTTTAATCAATATTTTAAACATGTTTTTTTATAATATTGTTTCAAGTATGTTTGAAACATTAAAAGTAAGTTTAAGAAGAAACAACATGTTTTATTCTTAAAAAAAAACTAGCCAACCCTGGTACGAATGAACGGTATATGTCTCCACATTGAATCTATTCGTCCTACTTCGATAAGTTTGGGCATATAGACGAATGTATTTTTAGCCTAATCGCAGGCAACTGCGATCACTTTCTTCTTACTTAGCATATATCGCTATCATAATCGCTACCGACCGGCTGACTCATCTCGCACACATTACGAATTACTCCCGATGACGAATGCGTGCTGACGAACTATTTCCGTGATCATCAGTCGCGCGATAACGCAATTTGCACTATCAAAAGGAATTGCAAAAGAGGAAGAAATAGAGATTGATCTGGTGTAACATTTCTATTAAGAAGACAGCTTCTATCGAGTATTTTCTTCATCTCTCTTTTTACTTGCGAGCATTCTTGAGCAATTTAGTACATCCTTAAAGCTATTCACAAAATTAATTAATCATAAATATATGCTACACCTATATTTATTGTATTTTTTTATTGTCTTCTATTTATTTATTAGGTGCATAATTTGATACAAATTTCAAATTACTCTATCTGCTGGAAATTGGAGCGTGATAATTGCTAACTGTATAAAAAAAAAGGATAAATCGACGGCCTTGAAATAGATCAAGGAAAAATCGACGGTGCCCAGTTGGGAAATGTTCATTGCCGGAACGCAAGCCGAACTACCGAAGCTCGTCTTTTCCCGTTGTTTCATTGCTTGTCGGTTGCCCGTTAGTTCGTTCCGCTGGTTAGGAGCCGAGGGCACGTGTTTTCGACGCTTTTACCACGCCGTTCTTCTTCCGCCGTGAGTACGAAAATCACTCTCTAATCGCAGGCGCTTCCCGCCAGCATTGTGATAAGTATTCTCACATTATCCAGTTATTGTCGCATTTATAACGACGAATGTTTATTAATGTTCACGACTACGTAGCTGCGTATCTAAAATTAGAAGCTTTTTATTCACAACATACGTAAGATGACATATATATGTATCAAAATTCTATTTTAATTTTCCAGCTAGATCTTAATTTTGATTGGTGTTTTCAATTGCAATTTTAATTGATTCGAAGATATTCTCTGATTAATTCGACACAAGAGTCTGCCAGTGTACGATGAAGAATCTACTGGATATTTTTAAACACGTCATGAAATCCGAGAATTGTCGCTCGCTGTAAACAAGATCTGAATAAACTCGCCTTGATTGGTGATGTCAGTACGTTTTTATGGAGGAGTTCTGACGTTGATCAGTCGATCCGTAAGCTTTGATTCCGCAATACGCTGCAAATATATTTGTTAGGATATATCGGTAAAATATCGTCGATAATTATAGATCATGTTGAAGAGGCGTTCGAGAATATCGTGTATGTGTCTCTTTCTTTTGCTTTATTCTCCTTTCTTTCACCTGGAAGCCGGAAGTACACGTTACTACCGTGGCTATCGTCTAGCTCTTTAGTTACATAAATATGCGTGCGTATGTGTATGTGTTCAAACATGTATTCTCTACTTCGTGAAGGCAAAGCCGGAGTACGTGTGACTTGAAACTGCACCTTTACAGGTAACATTCTCGTTAGTTTTTTTCATGAAAACGTGTTTCTCAAAATATCGAGTTGGGTCAAACGGAATAATCGTGACATTAAAATAACAGGTTGATGAAGTAAGATATACTTCCACTCATAAATTTTTAACAATGGATTTTAAAAGATCTCTTTTTTTTCCGGATCGTCAACTATATAAGGAGTAACAGGAAAGTACAACTGGTGACTCGTTTTAAAGTCCCAAAAGTGTCTGAAAGGGAAGCGTGAAATTTTACGTGTGAATGAACGACGACGAATAGCGGTAGAGTTGTACAATGGGATCAATGGATAAGGAAGAATTTGAATGCTCGGGGCGGCGAAATAATGCCGGCCCTGGTCCGGTCCCGCGACCTTGCGGTATGCGAGACGCAGTCTCTCCTCATATATATATGTATATAGTACGTATACATACACGTTCGAGAAACGGATGACATCATCGCCGATGAAAGTGTACATAACTTAGCAATGCATCACACACTTTGCTCGACCACTGTGAGCCGGTGGTCGAGGCGGCTGCTTAGGGTTTTTCTTTCTACTGAATAAGCGACATCGAAGGCGAATAAGCAATATCAAAAGGCTTCCAGAAATTTTAGATTCAGAAATCTCTACAATATTTAATTTGAGAGCGAAATCTGTTTTTCTTTCGAGCTAAACAACGAGATAAAAACAAAAGTGTTTCATCCGCTCGTTTTCAGGAAGATTCATCGAAATCCCTCTACAGTTGCAAGAATTTTAAATTATAGCGAATTCGATCACTTTGCATTACACTAGATTAGTACACACTAAAAGCTGTAACATATGAAATTAATAAAGCTAAATGTAAAAACAACTAAATATTTTGAACGATTAATCTGGTTTGTTCAAATTTACTATATGATATATCATATCGTTTAGGTCAATATGATGAAAGAATTCTAACCAGTACAAAGTTCTCACAGAAAAAAAGATCTTATATTAACAGACGAAGTCATCAAATATCAGAAAGACAAAAATTTTTTAATATAAAATCAATATATTAAAAAATGCCTTTATAAGCCGACACTAGTTCTTAATATATACATATAATTTATTGATAGAATTATAATATATTCCCAATATGTTTCGATTCCTCGTTCGAATCCTCTTCAGTGTGTAAATTAATATCATAAGTTAAATGATCAAATTTAGTCCGCAATGATTCGTCAATTTCCATGAATTTGTCAAACTAATATATGTTTGATTTCCAAGCTTCAATGCGGCTAAGCCTTTATTAAATGTAAACCCTCATTAAATTTAAAATTTTATTGACTTATATGATATAATACTCCGCCTTGAAGCACATGTTAAAGATATTATCAATTCGCACGTTAAATGGAAATCGATAACGAACAAACTATTACTGTACTCCTAATGTCGTTTTAGTATAATATTTGTTCGTTGTTTTGTAATCGATCCGCATTTAACTTGTAACGAGCGAACTGACAACGTCTTTAATGTGTGATTCAAGACAGAATATCATGTAAGTTAACAAAAATTTAAATTTCAACGCAACAATATAAACTTGTACAATTTTATATCACGTAGTAAATCTGGATCAATTTATTGAGGGCTAGCAATGAAGCTTGAAAATCAAACATATATTAGCTTGATGAATATATGGAAATTGACGAATCATTGCAGACTGAATTTGATCATTTAACTTATAACATTAATTTACACATTGAAGAGGATCCGAATGAGGGATCGAAACTTATGCATATTATAGGAATAGGAATATGCCATAATTATGTCAAAAAAGAACCAGCTCATATTGGTATTTTTTCATATTTGCTTTATCTGAGTCTCTATTATCTGTATCTATTTTCATGATTTACTTTATTTAAGTCTCTATTATCTATATTTATTTATTTAATATAAAAAAATTACATTTTAGAGTTAAATAGACCCGAATAGATTTAAAGTTAAATAATGACATCATGCTATTTAATAGCAGGATATCATTATTTATTAAAATATTATTTTATTGTTAAAATTGATTATATTTAATATTATGCCACTATATTTAGATATTTTATATGAAGGAGCTTTTAATGTGCACTAATCCAATGTAATGCGAGTAACCGAATTCATTATTACACAATCGTTTATAAAACGTAATTGAACTGTATCGTGACAGACTGACAGATATTATTCAAGTTTAGCGAACATCAAGAAAATGATTGAGAAATACTCTTAAAGTTCATTTGACTGCGACAAGAATTTCGTCTTTCTTTTTTCATTTCGACACACATTTCATAGCTTGGACGCATTCAGCGCATTCCTATTTCCGGCTCACAATTGCGATTCGTATCTCTTTCTCTCTCTCTCTCTCTCTCTCTCTCTCTCTCTCTTTCTCGCGGATTCCAATTACAGATACGCGCGAGAACATTATCGAAGCGTTCATTCATTGACAACGAGTAGGTGAGGTAATAGTTTACGGGGTCACATTCAAGTGAGGATCAATGGATGCCGTTGGAAAAGTTGAAGGTGACTTTTAAGAGGGGTTGACAACGCAACGAGACCGGACGGTGCATTTCAAAAAGGGCATGAGTCATGAATCTCTGCGTTCGAATCGAGTGGTTTTTCGATACTCGACTCTTATAATCTCGACCGGCACTGCGTACTAGAGGGACACATGTCCCACGCGTGTCAATGTAATGATAGAAACGTTTGTTCCAATGGCGCTTTATGGCGAATAAAATGAAGAGCATTGTCTGTCATTGTTACTCTTAACTAGTATCAGACTTACGTGGAGAAATCATGCAACGCGCGCTTTATATATGAGCTCTATTTATGTTACACTATGCAAGTTTTTTTTTATTGTAAAAAAAGTTCAGAAATGGTGTAAATTTAGAATTTTAAATACACGTCATATCACTCATTTACTACAATAATAATTAAAAATTGTCATGTTTTAGTTGCTTACAAAAAGAAAACGTACATAAAAAGAAAAACAAAATTATTTCTCTACAATCCAAATAATATTGAAAAATTTTAATAATTCAAAATATTGTAGCTCATTTTCTAGAAAACTTTGTTTTATTAATTATATCGTTCATAGCAAATGAGTGATATATACATGAGAAAAATAATATATGTGTGTGTGTGTATATGTATATATATATATATATATATATATATATACCCATAAATTTGCTAGTAAGAACTTGCTGGTTTTACGTGACGTCGATTCGCTGTTTGCATTTTATTAAAAAGAATCAAATATAAAAAAATAATTATATAGATAATTATATAGATAATTATATAGATAAAAAATATCACTGAGCTGCAAAAAAAAATACAATTTATTCTTTTTTTTAATCATTTGTTTCTATTTGTATCTATTCATATGTCACATTTCATTTTATTTTAGATTTTACAAATTAATCTTTTTTTAGAATCTACGATCTTGAAAAAAATTTATTTTCTTCTTAATCTGAAGTCTAAGATTTATAAATTAAGATGTACAATTTAAAGTTTACGATTTAGAGAAGTTAGGATTTTAGATTTAATGTCGAATTCGAATCTCGTATTTCGAATTTAGGATTTAGAATATCTCTAGCTTATTATAGAACTGTGAAAAATTCTTTGAATAATTGTTCATGCTCGAACAACTTTACGGAAGTCATATCAGATATCGGGAACCCGATATGCGAGCCCCAAATGCGGGCCTGTGATACCTTATAAAAATTGTAGCGATAAAAAATCGAGGCCAAAACGAACGTATGAGGAAACTGTCAATTGGGCTTCATAATACCTTCATTCAAGGCTGTTAAAAAGTAGTACAATCCGATATAATGTTCACGTGGGGCACGTTTCAGTGACGTAGGCGGTCGGTGATTTCGTCTTGCTCCGGCGATTCGCGAGATGCAATGGAATTTCGTTATAATTCCGACGCAAAAATAGCGTCTAAAATAAAAAAAAGAAAAAAAACATCTGAAATATATTATTACAAATATTTTTAAATTTTTATGTTAACTTATTTCGTGAATCAGAGACATAATTAATTAAATGAATAATTTTATTTATATTTTGATATTAATATGTACATTTATATATAATTTACAATACTAAACATTGTATAATTAAAAAATATATCGAAATTTTGGAAGCACATTCTTTATAGTTTTAAGGTTCTTTATTAGAATATTGAAGAAAATATATATTATATGATCCGGAAAAGCTTCACTTCTTGTTAGAGCTCTTTTTCTAATAATCTGTTATTGTTTACATTGTACAGATGCATGAGATAGTTTGTTTTTATTGGAATGTTTGGAAAAACACACATACACATATACGTGTGTTTATTAAGTCCTCACACATTCGACTCACTTTATTGTTGTACGTTGTAATTCAAGTGTTTCCGAAATAACTCGACAAGAAAGCGTTTCCGGATCTATGTTCATACATGTCTCCATTTTCTAGATATGAAAAATTTGGCCATATCTTTTACTTATATCTTGTTTAATTGTATTGTAATAATTGTATTGTAATAATGAAATTTACAATCTTTAATTTTAATACGCGAACTTTGAATGTGAATATTTCGAATAACAGATGAGTTATCAATTGATATTGAAGTATTTGTTAAAGAATAAATTCTTTGTAATTCCTTCAGCTGTTGCGTGACAAGTTGCTGATAATGGTCATCGTGTCTGTTTTAAGCATTTTAAAACGATCGTTTGAGCATCATAAGTTCTACAACAATACTTTTATTAAAATTCTTATAAAATAACTTAATTTTATATTTAAATAAAAACTCATAACTCTATGTGTATAATCAATTAATGAGAATCTACGAACATGGAAAAAATATAATTAAATGCAATTAAATAAATTCTATATAATTTATAGATTCCATAAATTTTCAAATATTCTTATCCTTTTAAATTCTAGGTTCCAATACTTTGTGTATATTTATTATAATAATTTTAATCAAAATTTAAAAAGTTTGGTGTTCGAAGTCGGTAAAAATGCGTAGTTCTATAATCAAAATATTTTAATGATAATAAATTCTTATACATAAATATATATAATATATAAATTGAAAGTCATATTTTTGTGCATTCTTGGTCTACAGCACATTACACAAAAATATAAGAAAGATATGAATTCGTTGACTTTGTTCCAGTTTGTATTCATTTTTATCTGCTGAAGATGATTCAAATTTAATCCAAACGTCCGGTCTAATTAAAATGTGCGCGCGCGACTTTAAATTGTATAAATCATGAATTTATGAATTATTAAAATAATCTTGTTATAGAACTGCAAACTTCCTCCACGCACTAACTCCTTTTTTAATTTTAATTATTATTGTGAATTATAGTTCCCCGGATTGTGTGTTTTATTTATATTATAATATATAAGAATTTTTTTTTCTGTAATCTTATTTTATAAAAAATTAGTTGACGCAAAAAAAACCGATTACGCAATTCTGAAAATTTTGTGCGTCAATAATTCCTCTGAATCATGAATCATGACAGAAATTCCGAATAAGAAGAATGAAAAGGTGGAAGAGAATTTATCTTTCATCGCGAATCGATCGTTTTAAATAAGAGGATATTTATATATTCACGATAAGGAAATTTGCGTTTTCGTAAAATTCAAGGAAATTTCCAAACAGTATTTGCGGTCATATTTGATAACTGCTGCTATCGATTTAGGCGGGCCAGATCGCGGAACAAAGGATAGTTATCAGTAAAGAGAGAAAAAGTGTTATCATCAAGTCTTCTTGTTTCTCATACATACTATGCACATGCACGTAAATTATGTGCGTACACGCGTTACAATGACCTTTACGAGGCGAATACTGCGAGCGTCCATACGCGGGGACGATGACCCAACAATTTCAACATAAACAGTATCATACGTACGCAAGCTGGTATCATAAGCAGGCCTTAGCAGGCGAATGCGAGTAAGCCAGCTTCCGTCATCGGTCGACTCGTTTCAGAACTAATATACTTTCTCCTCGGATTCTCTCCGTCGGTAGGAGAGACGCAAACGCGTATTTCTTTCTTTTAATATAATTAACTTGTTATTTATATAGCGCAAAAATTAATTTTTTTAACGTTCACAACAAATCAATCGTAATTGCAAAGTCAGTCTAAAATCTTAACAGAAAACTATAACTATAACAGTAAGCTATAGGGTATATAAGTAAAATTTTTGGAACCTAACAATATTTAAGAGAGATCACAGGATTTATTTCTTATGATAAGTTAATTCAAACATAAATTGAAAATCTATAGTTATTTATTACTATATATTATTAGTAGCTCATATTTTTATTATCAGTTTATATTAGTAGCTATACCATCAAAAAAGGCAGCAAATTTCATGTACATATATATAAATATATTTTTCAATTACAAATTATATACATTAAAAATTTAATGTAATGTTATGAAATTTAATTTAATTTGTGTAATTTAAATTTGTGTACATTAAATTTCATGACATATTTGACAGTGTATAGTTTTACCCTATACTGTACTATATTTCTCAAGCTGAGAAGAATTTGAATCAGAGATATTGAATCATTCACTCTTACTCATGTTAATATCTTTTTATATTCTTATATTTTTATCATAATATGCACGACTGCCTTTCGCTCGCCTCTGGGCTTCATTTTCCTTCCTTTCCTTTCGAAATAATCTTGCACAATCTATTGGAAGCTTGTTGGTTGACCCTGCCCGTTTCGTTGCTTTGTTCACAGAAGAAACGAGGGTAAGCCGGAAGTAGAAGAATGACCGACCAAAAGAATTATGCACCGTATCCCCCGCTGTCGGGGGTGGGACTGCAGCCACCGCAGCCGATCGCAACAGCTCCGCCACAACCAGGTGTATCGATCTTACCGCCAGGTAAAAGAGCAGACGTTAGTCTCAAGATTCAAGCTGTGCTTCAGCACGCGCTAAGAAAACCGACACGTCTGCATCTGGATACATCTGCACGTTGGACATGCGAGGCCCTAAACCGCAAAACACATGACGCTCATGATGATTTTACAACAGTATTCATAGTTTGTTCTTTCTCTATTTCAAGACCGTCTTAAGTAATGTTTTAAAAGGCTAACTCTTTGTAAGTGGTTTTATGACATAACGCTTTTTAGGTTTTCACAAGTATTGTCTTTAAAAATACTAGAAGATTTGCGGGTTATCGCCGTGTTTTTATCCATTTACCTCGATGAAGTGAACGGCAAGGTTCGCGAAACCTTGGCATTAGTAATGGATAAAAACACAATGATGACTCACAAAATTTCTAGTTTTATAACAGCTTAAAATTGTAAAAGTACTTCCCATCACTTGTAAAACGCTACGAATTAATTCCAACACCTAATATATATATATATATATATATAAAATAGCGAATGTGCGGTCAGTTACATTACATTAATGCATATTGAAAGTCACTATACGTGAAATTAGTAAAGTTAAATCAAAAGCACATAAATATTTTGAATAACTAATCATCCAACAATAATGATCGTCATTTTATTTAATAAAATATACATGTTATTTTATTGTCAAAGTTAATTATGCAACTGCATGTAGTTATGTAAAGTAGATGTTTATGTATGTAAAATAGATGTTTTTTTTAAATACGATTATTATAGTGAATGAATTCACCATGAGAATAGACTATGAATACAGACACACAAGTTTTTCTAGTTAATAACGCCCATGAATTTAAGGAACAATATAATTGAAATTTTAGAAGCAATATCACTCCGTCTTTCTCTTCGTTACACAGAGAAAGGGAAAAAAGAGAATAATTCAAAACAACTTAAAATAAATTAATGCATTTCGTATTACTTTCCGATCTCACTGCTGTTTTTGTAACAATAGGGATTCACTTGTATGTGTTTTAATTCTAATTAGATTCCCGGTTAGATTAGATTCTTCGTTGTAACTACGGTCGAAGTGTAAACGAGACAATTAAAAACTACTTAACTTGCTAATATTTAAAGTCAGCCACGATGGTAGTTAATTCGACCTGATTACCGCGTTTCTCTGCTCTTTTCTCGTCGTCTTGAATCTAGATGAAGAGGAAGAAAATTTAGTTGACTCGGTAATTCTCCAGGGCAGTTACATTCACAAGGTTCACTTACATTAACATTAGCATTTTCACCGCCCTTTTTAAATCACTAATCAAATAGAAAAATAAACTACGTTAGACAGATTACGTGAAGGAGAATTAACATTAAGAATTAGTTGTCTACCACGATTGACGCTAATTTAAAGTTTGCGTCATCGTAGTAGTTAATTTCTCTAAGAAATAATTTTTCTAAGAAATAGACAAGATAACGTTATATCTAATTATTGTAAGTTTTAATATATATATATTTATTTCGAATTGTATATTTTAAAATATTTTTTGTTTTTTCAAACATATCGAACATATCTTTTTCATTGTAAAGTGTGACAGTGTGATATCATTTAGTCGAATCACACAGCTGTTTAATGTATTCAGTATTTTCTGTACAAATAGAATGTCATTTTAAACATTATTATTTGTATTATAACGATAGGGATACATTTACAATCGGTATTCATCAATATATATGCAGATCAATATAAAAATTACGCTAATCGTCTCGTTGCGTTTAGAAATTATAATTTAATTCTATTTATATCCTTTCTTTCTTTCTTTGTTTCTCTAATTTAATAATTGTATATTTAATCTTTTCGGAAAACGCACAAGTCTAAATATTTTAGAACGTTTGAAATTATGTATAAGCTGCATGTATATATCAGTATACACTTAAGTAAATTCCAGCACATGTATGTGTTTAAAAAATATCTTTTAGGCATGTTTAAAAAAATATTTAAACACTTTTAGATATTTCAAACATGTCTTCCAAAAGTGTCTTTTAAACATGCGTGTTGGAATTTATATATATTTGTGTATATACTTAGAGATATACTTATATAGCTTATACATAACATTTCAAAATATGAAAATACTAAATGTACAATTATTAGAGAGAAAAAGAGAGAGAGAGAAAGAACATTTTTAATGTAATTAGAATCAAATTATAGTTTATTATTTTTAATTGATGATCGTACAATATCGACCTAAACGTGCTATTAGCACGAAACGCATTTCACATGCCGCTTAATTACGATAGACACGGTCCAAGGACATTCGTGATCCTCCACATTGATGATCATAATCCAAATATTGCTCCTATCGAACGTAATTGCGGCTCGCCACGAGAAATTCGAACTCTGTGTACGCTATGTGTTCCATGCAGAAGGACGATCCACGGACGGTATCTCCCAATAATAGTTGCTCACTGCTTGCCTGGAGTGACGATTAGTATAAAGTAGATAATGACCATCCTCGGCGGCTGCCGCGTATCATCGTCACCCAAACAGTTGTATTCGACGATATCACTTGTATTTATACGATGACGTCGAACTTCTCGGTCTTCGCGGGCACATCGCTGTATTGTCGTTCTCTGAGATATGAGATAAATAAATGATTCCGTTATGTATCTGAATTTTAAAACATTCCGATAAGCACCCGCGACGTGACAACACTAACTGATCATTCAAGCCCAGTATAGTTCGCCTTTTATCTAGTTAGACGTGATAAAAAAAAGAAAAAAACATTGAAAATGTGAGAGAAAAAAGGAGGAAAAAAGGAAATTGAAATTTTGGAATACATAAGATCTGAAGAACTGAAGATCTCGAAGAGGAATGTAAAAGATAAGTTGAATCTATATATATATATATAAACAATTAATAAAAATTGCTAGAAATCTTTTGACAAAATTCTTGAATCGAATAATCTTCAATTTTCTTATGGTGAATAATTTTATTAGAGAATTGTAATAATTGGGAAAATATTGCCAGTAAATTGTGAATTTTTCATAATATTAATTTTTATCGGCGTGGGACACAAGCATGCAGTATTAAATGATTACGATGTAGCTTTGATATATCGCATTGTTTTCTGTATTTATCTCTTAAATGATAAACGAAAAAAAAAAGAAAATCTAAACCAGAGAAAACGAGGATACTCGCGGAAAAAATTTTATCTCCTGCGTCTCGAGGAGGGTAGACAACGCAAAATAATTGCGATAACTCGCAAACGTTGCTAGTAAACGTCTCGGATCGGCACTGCAGTTATTTTTGTCAGATTAATAATCCTAATGGGAGATTATTAGAATCCTGATAGACAACAGTGATAAGAATTTCGAAAAACGGTGAAAGTCGAAAGTTTGAGGATAAGTTTAGAAATTCTTTGAAAAAACTTTTCAATGAAAGTTTTTAAGCAGAAGTGATAAGAACTCCAAAAAAAGTTTCGAAACTACTGATTGGAACGGTGAATTTTAAACAAACCATATTGTTTTCCAGTTTAGATAATTACATAATTATCGACCTTTAATCTTTTATAATTACACAAATATCTATAAATATCTACCTCTAAGATTATGGTGATAATTGTGATGCAACAGTGGAGTATATAAGTCAGAGATAAAAGAGTCTACTTCAATTTCAAAAAGCATTTGATAAAAACGTGTATCACGTTAAAAAAGTACAATCTCTACGGTAAATAAGAAAAATACAGAAAAATACAATTTTCAAAAGTATAATCTTTACGATAAATAATATTGAAACATGCGGTATTCTACGTGTGCAACGGAATCAGAATACTTTGAAACTTCGTGGAAAATCAAGTTGGAGCAGATTCGCAGACAGCTAAGAACACTTTTTCAAAACACATTGACGCGTTATTACAAGTCAAAGAAGAAGGGCTACACCAGATTTCTGACAGAGGAGGAACAGAGGTGCAGAATCGTTTCCATATGTATTTCACGATTTTGTTATACATCTATTGCGGAGCATTTTGTTACTTATATGCTATTTTACTTTTTTAATGAGAATTAACTTTATTAATTTAGAAATGATAAATATCTATATATGCGATTAAGAAAGAAATCTCTCGTTATGGATTTATAAAATCATGAAATAATGTTTTTCACGGGTATTATCTTCAAAGATACCAGAAGGTTCGCGGGTTATCGTCAATTATTAGCAATGGATTAAAATACGACGATGACCTACAAAACTTTCTGATATTTTTCAATATGAAATATATTTGTACTATTTATATTATATCTTCTTCTACGTGAAACGCACTTCTCTAAGATTTGATAAAAAGAATTATTATAAATTGTTCATGTAAATACAGTTAATGTACTTATAACGATATTGTATATCATATTGATTGTATATCATTTTTCTTCCTTAACCGATGATTCATTGCCAAAACTATATTGAATGTTGAGAGAGAGAGAGAGAGAGAGATTTAAAAAAATTTATATTATACTATTTTTATATAAGCAATAAATAGCACGTTGAATTAACTGAACACTTATTGAATATTGCACTTGAATGCTTTCAGGTGGTTGGTTACCACCGAATATGACATATCCACCCGGCTTGGAATACCTTATGAACCTTGAATATCTTTTTGTGAACCAGAAAATTGAGTTGCTTCAAGGTGAGTTCTCGGCTTTGCCAAGAAAGATATAAATATAACGCTTCTCTTTTTGAGACTGCGCGCGAATATATGTATAGGTATATTCCAGATCCGCGAAGCTCGAGAGTATGACTTACAATTATTCCCCCCAGTAAACAAAGCTACGTTTGCTTTACGCGATAGTCTTCTCGTATATTTGTATTATGATAAACTCGGAATTTTATATAACGCATAATAAAGTAATCATATAATTATAAAATTCATAATTTTATATTATACGAATTCCATTTTATATATTATATATTTCATTTTATATTAAACGAAAAATTCACCGAATTATTTTACACACACACACACACATTTTACTTTAACGTTGTTCTTTTTAGCTTTTACCGGATGGGAAACTAAGAATAAATATGTTATTACGGATAACAGGGGCGAGCTAGTATTTTATATGGCCGAAGAATCGGGAATCTGTTGGCGATTGTGCGTGGGAAAGTATCGCTCGTGTGAATTTTCCATCTACGACAAAAATCAGCACGAGGTTCTTCGTATGATCCGACCATTCAGATGCTACGATTGCTGCTGTCCTTGTTATCTACAGGTAGTTTTATCATTAGAATTTCTTTAGTGTTTGATATAGTTATCTCTATATGAAATATTTTAGTAATTAGAAAAGAAAAATATTTATTTTCTATTATTATATTCTTTAAAGAGTTTTACGTTAAATTTGCTCTTTAAATAAAAATCAATAATTTTCTTTCTTTATTATTTGTGACAATTAATTTTCGAACATTTTAAAATATTTAATGTATTTAATAAATTTTAGACTTTAGATTAAAAATGAAAAATTATAAATTTGTCTTCGCAATATTTAATATTTGCATTTATTACCAAGGTTTTAAATTCTAAAGAATAATTTTAAATAATATTTTAAAATAAATTTTTCTCTTTTAACTGTAACATTATTCATAAAGTGAATTTTTTATTAAGTATCTAAATTATAAATAACCTCTTCTTAAATTTATTTTGATTATATTTTGATTATATTTTATATTGAATTATACGCACAATAATATTGCAAATAATAAATTTAAGATCGATATTTAGAAGCGAGATGAGAACTACTGTTTTGTATCGCGTCTACTAAAGTTTCTTCACACGTGCAAGCCATCTGTCAAGTTTTCAACGAAAATTTGCCCGCATCGTCGAAAGATTCGATCAATACCTTTTGAACAGGAATGACAATATTAATTTGCTCTATGTAGTTCATTTCTAGTTATAATTTACTTATTTGTTTATTTATGGTGTAAAAGGATATAAGACACAATAAAAATTAAAAACAAATAATTGTATTCGAATTTGTTTAATAACTTCGGCTAATTTTATTTAGATTTCCAATGAGAATAAATTAGAATAAATCCTTATTTATATATGAGAAATTTCAATAAATTTAAGGTTATCGATAAATTTTATTTTTAAAATTTATTACTAGTTTTTAAATAGGCAAATGACTAAAGTTTTTTTTTCACAGGTTTTAGAAGTGTATTCCGGAAATACTTTACTGGGTAGCGTTACTCAAGAATGGAGTCTTTGGCGACCAAAGTTTTATATTCGCGATGCATCCGGCCAACCAGTGTTAATGATAAAGGGTCCACTTATTCGTTTTTGTATTGATGTAATTTTTAAGGTATTGCAACATTCCAAATTTTACTTAATTTATGTCATTTATGATATTTTATTTTTATATAATATAGATTATATTATATACTGACATTTTTTAATTTGTTTTTTTTTAATTAAGATACAAAAATTTTAAGAATGAATGATAATAATATTAGAAACTTGATTATTTAGTTCAATGAATTATATTTTATTACATAATAAACGTTAAGATTTTCAGAATCATTTATCAATAATCAAACCCGCAGGTAAAATCTATGGATGAAAAGCATCGTGTCGGCATAATCCGAAAACATTGGAGTGGCTTTGCTCGAGAGATATTTACCGTTTCTGATATGTTCGGTATTCAGTTTCCGCGCGATTTGGATGTGAAGATAAAAGCTGTACTGCTAGGAGCGTGTATTTTAATAGTAGGTATTGTGAAAATACTATAATCGCTTTTTTAACGAGATGCAAAGAAGAAAAGCATAAAAAGAAATATTGCAATGAGAAAGAAATATTGCCGTTCTTATATTAATATCAATTAATTAATTTTGATTGGTTTTGAATATTTCGATTAAGAAATTAAATTGCAAAGAAAAATTTCTAATGCAAGTCAAATTACTATATTAGTATGAACATAGTTTAATTAATTTTATACTTTAACATTATTGTTAATGTTTTAGGACTTCATGTATTTCGAGGAGGAGAAATAAGTCAATTTATTTCAATTTTTAAAAGAAAACAAAGCGATTTGTTCGTATGAACATATCTTCATCAACGTATTTCATTACATAACAAATACCTCAACCTGTATCAACTTATAAGTATACTTATAAGTGTACCTTCAAAAATATTTTGTAACATACAAATATCTCAAAAAATGTTAAATGTTTTCTATGGAATGCAACTATAAAGACGAATGCTTTTATACACACACACACACACACACACACACACACACACACACACACATACACATACACACACACACACACATTTATATATACATATACATTATATATGTATATATAATATATATGAAGAGCAGAATTCCAAAATGTATTTGCAAATTGCAGTCAAAAATTTCATTTTTTTAGTTAGAGATGGTATATTTCAGTGTTGGAAGACTCACATTATAAGTTACTGAGATGTTCAGAAAGCATTTTTTCATTGTTAATTTGTATGCTCAAAAACAGACATTGTGAAGTGCATTATATTTTTTAACTAGAGACAAATAAAATGCATTTGTTTAACATTTTTAGCAATTGTTTAGCAATTTTGTTTAATATTTTACATCCTACTGATATACTGTTATTTTCTGTAAAGTGCGTAATTTTCTTGTGCGGAGTTTTTTTTCTCGTTTTCTGAAAATTACAAATTTTGGGCAAAACGCATTTTGAAAATCTGCTCATATATGTGTATGTGTGTGTGTGTGTGTGTGTGTGTGTGTGTGTGTGTGCGTGCGTATGTTGTGCGTATATGTATATACTTAACGTGCAGTGTGAATTATGAATTGTAATTATAATTGTATATTACACACAATTAGATCAATTCCTTTTTTGATCAGTTTACGAATAATTTTTATCACTTTTATACAGGGTCCGGCAAAATGATCTCCCACATTTTTAAATTATTAAAGATTAAAATGTGGGAGATCATTTTGCCGGACCCTGTACAATCAAACTGTACTAAAGTATACCTTATATTCGCGGAGACGTAATCGAGCTTTTTTATACTGCAGAGTTTGATCTCAAAAAGCTCTCTATTTTATTATGAGCATGCAGTTGCCTGTCTATTTAAATCATTACTCATTTAACATTTTCGATACATCTATTTTCCTTTTTTTTAAGACTCTACATCATCTTTTGAATATTGTGACGTGTAATGTAACAATAGGAGTCGGTTGTTCCAACTTCGCATAAACTATGTGATAATTTACCTACTGAATAAACAAAAGAGTAAAAAAGTAAGAGTAAGAGTTTAAGAGTGTAAGAGAGTAGGACAGTGAGCTGAAGTTTATCGAAAGGTGAAACAACTGTCTAAATGATGATAAATTTTCCTTCATTTGCACACATATACATATATAAATAAAAAATAAGCTATTACTTGATTCAGCATTGAGATTGGCCTCTACTTTGCTGATATATGTATAAAATGTATGTAATTTGTATAAATGATTCTGAAAATTTGTGAATTATAAAGTTTATCTTTATATCAATATTATGCGATATAAAAACTATTGTATATCAAAACGTAAAAATTTTAAATTGTATACGATAATATGCAATTTTTTCATTATAATTTTTTAACTTTATACGAATATCGCTACGTATTTTATTACTCGTGTAATAGGAGCTTCGCATATTTGTACAGATTAAACAATGTTCATTTAATAAAATTAAATTTGATTATTATATGTTTTTGTTTGTATGTATTTTCCAATTTACTGAAATATAATTCTTAATAAAATATAAATGAACACTAACCAAGTCAAATAACACAAATACCTAAATACTTTATATACAATAAGTTAAACTTGACTATTTATATGAATAAGACAAATAAAAGCGCATCAAATACATTCGAAGTTGCATCTTGAGGTTTAAAATTATTTTTGTGCGAATTATTAAATTTTTCAATTCTTTACATAATTCACATAAAAGTATTATTAGATATCAAGATGCAATCTCACTATATTTGGCATTCCTTCTTGTATACATTTTATACATTTTATAATATAATAGATTAATAAAATTCTCGTTTATTATCAATTTATTTTTAAAACATTTTTTTGACACAAACGCTTTTTATTAAGTTTCTTTTTATTTATAATATAGTACTAATAAAAACGCCAAGATCTTAGAAACATGTCACCCTTAATATTTTTAACAATAATTTTTCAATATTGTAGGATCCTACATTGAAGATTTACGTAAATTGTTTAATGGATTATCTATCATGATAGTAAAAAATATAAAACTATTCAAATTAACAATTTAAAAATATGTAACAATCAATGTGAAAAGTTACGATAGAGATATCCTCAGGATCTCAATAAAGTGATATATCAGGAATTAGAAAGCTGAATAAAATTGGGAGAATAAAATACGCAAATATGTAATGTGTATGTCTTTTTATTTTCGTGTTTCATTATTTATATTCTCACCGTACATCTTGTCGAATCTGCTGGTAATACACTGTCTCTATAATATGCCGCAACGCTTGCTCGCGTGTGTTTTGTAGTGCGTGTTAAAATCCGTCGCGCAGATGTTCCTTCTTGGCCTCTCACATGGTAAAAAAGAGAATGAAAAAACATGAATGTCGTTCTCCACCATCCGCAGACTAGAAAGACCGCAGAGTACTGAGAACAGCACTCCCTGCGATCCCTTGATGCTCTGTGGCAATTTTAAGAATACGGATAATTTAAAAACCGTCGTCATCGTACGAATACCTCTTAAAACAGCGACGACATCTTCCTTCTCTTTTCCCTTATTATCTTGTTTAATAGACAATCACGACGAACTGCAGGGGACTAGTACTAGAGCACTACTAAGTGTGTAATCGCGCGTGACTATGTATCGATAACAAATGCGATTGCAACTAAAAGAAAAAGAAAGAAATTTAAACGAAATCGCGAGTGCGTTGCTTCGAGAATATTTCCCGATCTTTCAAAATTACATACTAAGAACGAGAAAAAAAGGAACAAGTGTACGAAACTAAAATACTGTCGAATACAACGTGCAGAGTGCGATGTGAGCTGACCTCTAATAAAGCCATCTTTTTATCACATATTTTGTTTCCTTTACAATTTCATGTTTTCGATTAGATTAATGATACAAGATACCGTACAAGACGTAATATAAAGTATAGCAATTAATAAATAAAAAAAAAATTGGAAACAAAAATCATATATTAAAAAATTTCACAAAATATGATTAATTTCCTTCTAAGATTTTCTATTCTATTCATAAAGTAATATAATTTATAATTATGGTTATTTCATATACGAACAAAGTTTCTCTTTATTAATTAAAGCTAAGAAAAAAAGAAAAAATAACAATGAAAAGAAGATGGCTTGAACATGGACAGCTTACATCGTACTAGACAGCGCTAATTACGATATTTATATATACGTCTTTATATATGTATAAAGACGGATAACGCGAAAATGGCTGAAAAGCTCGATGCCGCCGGCGTTAGATCATTGAACGATTTTTTCATGCTCTTGCGATTTATTCTCAGAATAAAATTCTCACGCCGTAGACACAGTTTCCAGCGTAACGTCACGTAAATACAGTGGCGTCCGACGGGGCTACGATGGAGAGTAAACGAATACGAAGGGTATCAAGGGAGGGGGTTGGGTTTAGAGGCTGGCTTCGATTTTGATGAGCTCAGCGATGCCATCGTTCATCTCCTTCACAGCCTGGTACTCAGTCAAACCGAGACGGCGCTTATTAGAGATGTCGTAGATGCCGCCTTCGGCCTCGGTGTGCTCGCCACGAGTACCGCGCACCTGTAGATTGTACTTGGCTGCGATCTCTTCGAGCTTGGCCATGTTTGCCGCGAGTTTCGGCACTTTGATGTGCACCGAGGCACGCACCGTCGTACCCAGATTCGTCGGGCAGAACGTCAGGAAGCCGAAGCGATCGTTGTGCGAGAATGGCAGCCGCTTTTCGATCTCGTTCACCGCTGTTACTAAGCGTCGGTATACCTGGTAAACATGAATTGATTAATTGGATATGTCAATGGTAATTACATTGTAATGCTAAATTAAATTCGTCAATTGATTATGAGATCTTTTTTAACAAACATTATATCATTTTATCACATTATAACATTATATCATTTTATCACATTATAACATTATATCATTTAACATTTACACTTCAATAATATAAAAGTTTCGAAAAAATTTTTAAGTATTTTTAAGCTATTACAAAAAAAATTCAAAATATTTTTTAAATATTTACGTCAATAATGTTCTTTTAGATATTTATTCTCGCTAAATATGAACGTATAATTGAAAATTAGTATAATTTGTTAAAAATAAAATAAATTCATTATATATAATGACAAAAATTTGTCTTTAGGACTCAAACAGAATAAAAATATTAAAAGAATATTAAAAGAATATTAATAAAGAATAACAAATTTCAACTTATTAGAGAAATAGTGCATATTCGGTTTCTGATAGGTTTCTTGAAACCTGTTATTTCTTATTCTTTTTATTATGTTTGAGTGACTTATTTATATTATTTATATTATTGACTTATTTATATTATTGTTTCTGAATATACTGAAAAATTAAAAGATTACTTATTCTGCTCTCCAAAAATTTTCAAGAAAGAGTAACTTCATAAAAAATGATTTAAAAATGAAATGATTTAAAAAGCATTTTGAAGTTTTTATTTTTCAGATTTCAGATTCGATTTTTTTATAGATTTTACTGATTTTTTTACAAAGCTACATCGATACAAATGGAAGACCATTAAATCTCGAACTTTTTTTACAAACTTTGCAAATTTCTATTCTGTACGTGAATTAAAAATCGCAAATAAATAGTTTATAGTTTTTGAAAGAATGAATCTTTATCTTTAAATTGCATATTTATTGATTGTTACGATTTTTTCAGCATTGAAGCAAAAAGTATCTTTTTTTTTTACTTTAACTGCTCACAGAAGACAAACTCTTAAAAAATTGCTTATTTTTGAAAGACAGAATAAGTGACCCCTTAATTTTTTAGTATAGGTAATGTAGGTACCTGTCCAAGATCACCACCCATCTGCATAGAGATGATGCGAAGGTGGTCTTCTTCGTTGCACCAAACCAGGAAAGTCTTGTCGTCATTATGGAAGATACCACGTCCGGTGGGCCAGAAACGGCATGCGTTCGCTGCCTGAAGGAAACGATCGCCCTCCTTGAAGAGGAAGTGATCGTCGATCAGCTTCTGCTGCACTTCCTTGCTCATGCCGGTAAGCGGGTAGAAAGTACCCTTCAGTTCTCCGGTGAGGCCTGACAGCGTGCTGGATACCTTCCCTTCCATCTCCTTATACTGCGCCTCCGTCAGACACGGGTTGAACGGATATCCATTTAAGGAGCGGCCGCATCGCACGCGAGTCGACACAATATATTCACCCTGTTATAAAAGGAAAAAATCATCAAAATTTCATAATAAAAATCTATTTATATAATCATTATATAGTTTAATAATTATTATTATTATAAGATTTAATCGTACTAATATTATTTTTTATACATAAAGAAACTTGTAATAACAAATAAAATTTGTAAGAAGAACTTACGGTGGGATCGAGATTGCCAAAGTAGTCGACGTCACCGAAGTCCTTGGGCGGATGCTTGTCAGTCTTCTTGAAGCCGCCATGATAGTCGTCGATGATGGGATCGAAGATCTCGGCGAAGACGGTATACGCCTCGGCGTCGGGCGCGTAGATACCGACACCAGAATCATGATTCTCCAAACCAGATTGAATAACGTCCAAGAGAGTAGAACCAAATGAGGTTTTTCTAGTCTTGAGTTGATCGAAGATCTCTTTGGTCAAATGTTTCTTCAGCAGCGATTTGCTGTCGGACTCAGCCAACTTTGCATAGCCGGATTCCAGTTTGTCCAGAACCGCTGCGTCCACCATGTTGTTACTCTTTTTACTGTAACAAAATGTTCAAGAATCGTTTCGTCAAAGATGAAAAAAAGTTTTCATCATAATAATGAAATGAAAAAAAGATAGTTTTTTGTAACTCAATTGAAGGAACCAGTCCAATCCGCTCGAAACTCGATTTTTCATTATTTGGTTAACTTGTGATTTAGATTTCACCTCACTTGATAAAGTAAAAATTGTATTTCTTCTAACTATGATTAATCGTTAAACTAATACTTCTATAGTGGTAATTTTAAAAACAGTGATTAACTATAGATAGAAAAATACAATTTTTTTAATATTACCATCAAGTTAAGTCTAATTACAAATTAACTAGCAAATGAAAAATCATAGTCTGTCTAATTTTGCTTATTCAAGAACTTAGAATTAATTTGCGATTGTCTTTATTTAATTTTAAGGTTAATTTAGGATAATTTTCTTAATTTCAAAAATTGATCCTTCAATCGATATTATTTTGCCTTGCTCGTTGTGGTCTCTTTATAGCGTGCAGAACATCAAGAAGATAGGCATAAAAAATAGATGCTGCAAATAAATATGTAGAGCTAGTTGTATTTGTATACTAAATTGTTTAATTACTAGTGCAAAGTATTTTAACATCTGTCGTGTCTGAATACTTGGCGTTAATCCGATTAAATCGGATAATTCTAACTTGAATCCACATGGTGTTCCGTCGATTTTATTCAACGACGCGGCATTGCTCATATTATCTTATATACATATTTTCTATTTCTTATATATTTCATATCTATACTTCAGGTATGCTTTTAAAATTCCTTTGGTGCAGCGTGTGCCTCATTGTTGATACGCGGTGCACTTGCATCTGCTAACTCTAGGATGCACTGCAAGTTAAAAATTCCATGACGCGAGTAAGCAGTTCATTGTAAAAGTATACAATTCCTTTTCTTTAAGTTTAAAACATTCCTTTTTTTTTAGCATTAATCTAATTCATTGTTTAGTTTTAAAAAAATTAACCCCTTCAATTTCAATCATACGTTAGTCATTTTTTTAAAGTGAGAGTTCTCGAGAAAGAACAGAGGATGACTTTTATTCATAAAACCTATTCTACAACATGTTTTTCGTTTCCTGTTTTTTTTTATTTTTTTAATCTTGTCTTTTTGCTTCTTATCTGATTTTTTGTTTTCTGTCGCCCGAGATAAAAGTTAACGAACTTTGGAAGAAACAGGAAACAGTAGCAAGAAATATACAATTGTTAAAACGGTCGCAAAGAGAGGAAAACAGCAAGAGGTAAAAAGCAAGAAATAGGAAACAAAGAGTATATTGTAGAATAGGCTTAAGAGTATCCCGATGGGGAATTTGTTTATGCCTCCAACGTTGCGAGAAATAGACGAATAGACCGACAACTCTCGAACGGTCCACCGAATCCATTCGAAAGGAATGGAGTTCGCGAAGTGCATCCTAGGGTCGAATGCCGAATGAGCATACATACACGTCGTCGTCGTCGTCATTGACGTTCTCAGTTTGTTGGACAGTTTGTTGGACGGTTTGTTGGACATTTTGTTGGTCGTCCGCAGACTCGCATATACCCAGCGACGAGCATACACCGCCCATCGCTCGTCGAAACACGATTATGCGTCGATCGTCGCGTCGATTCGAGAATGAGGAGAGACGAGACGAGACAGTCTAGCTCATGCGAGATCCTTTACGCGGAACACATACGAGGCGGGCATTGATGTCGCGTTAAACCATCGCGCAAAAATCCGCAGACGTCATAAACCCAAGAGACCAGCCTGGCAAGTTTGTTAGACATACAATTAAAGAGAAAAAAAAGCGGGAACTCGGAAAGTTGCTCATATCGCCATATTCAACTATTCAGATTTTTATCAAGACTTTCGTAAGTTGGATTAAATTTTTTCTTTTAATTTCCTCCTTTTAAACTCCTTTTATACATATATAAAATTCCTATAAACACATTAAGAATAATGGCACACCCAATATACATTGTTACAAATAATAATTTAAAGTAATACTTAGAATAAGTAAACCTTACTTCAACAGATAAAAGGTCTGTTCTTTTCAACTTAATCTTTACACGGTTTCTCTTTTCTTTTTTCCACATTTGAGAAAAAAAAAGAGAAAATATGAATATTAAGAAGACAAGGTGCAAAAAGTTCAACTAAAAAAAAAGAGGCCTATACACAAATCGCAATTGAAATTCACGTAGAATAAAACAAAATCTTAGTGTATCTAAAACCGAATAAGCTTCTTAGAAGGAAAAGCAGGAAAAATGAAGAGAAAGGGGGAATAACGGAGAAAAACAGATGAGAAAGAGAGAAAGAGAAGGAGACAGTCTTTCTCATCCCATTGAAGACTTTTTCACGGATACGTACTCGTCGCCCGACGTGGTATCCTTCGAAGTACATCCGCCCATGTCGCTGCAACGACGAGGAGACTACGGCGACAAAGACGACGCCCTTGACGAGCGAGAGTCGAAGACGGAAAGAAAAAAAAAAGAGAGGCGAAAGAGATTACGCGATCGAGCAAGAAAATCGAAGATTTCGCTCGACGCTTGAACTGCCCTTAAACGCGAGAGAATCAGAGTGTCTTTCACGTATTTCTGGAGCTCGCACACGCGACGATCAGGCAGGATCGTTAGCAAGTTTAGGTAAAAACGCACGTTTCCGACGCACGAAACGGCGAGGAAGAGAAAGAGAGGGAGAGACGCGGGTGTGGACGGAGAATCGTCGGTGTGACGAGAGTCCCTCTCGAATCACGGGGGGCGATTCCGTCCGTCCTCTCCTGTTGCAATTTTCCAGTCGCGCTGCACCTCCCCCAGTCCGGCCGTCAGATCGAAGATCCTAATGATGAATCCTGACAAACTATCCTCGGCCCGGGCTCAAACGTCAAGGGCTCGTGGTGAGCTCGTGGTAGGTCGCGGTGGGTCAAAGGTCGCGGCCGAGAGACCTTTCTCTCGTATTTACTGCCCGTACGTTTCCTCTTCTTCCTCCTCCTCCTCCTCTCCCTCTCTCTCTCTTTTTCTCTCTCTCTCTCTCTCTTTTGCTGCCCTTCCGGCTGCCGCTGCTGTTGCTGGTGCTGCCCTTCCGGCTCCCGCGTGTCTCTCCTCTCCGAAGAGCGATCTACTGATGCACAAGGTAGTGGTGCTCCTGTTAGCTCTCGCGTTAATTCCGTCGCGTTACAGCGCTCGTTCGCGACACGTTTCGCGCACCGACACGCCGGCTACTTCCCGGGAACGAGCGCGATTTTCCACGATGGCTTTAGAGAGGGGATGATTCTTTTAACCCCGGTCCAAACGTATGTCTTGGAAGCCGAAGTCTCGAGAGTTTACAAGAGAAACGTATAAGGAACGTAGCGATGTTCTTGTGAGAAAAAAATGAAAAAACGTGGATTCTCTTTGTTACCAATTTGCATTAAACATTCGAAATGTTCCAAATCAATTCGTTAAATTATAATTGAACAGGAAAATTCTTGTCAAAAAGACAATTTAACATCGCCAGAGGAAATTAGAGGTTTCTCATTTTTTTTAAAGTTACTTCCGTAAATTTAAATGACTTAAATTAAGCGCAGCGAATACGATTCACTTGGATAAATTAAATAATTGGACAATTAGATAACGACAAAAAAATTGCCGGTCACGGAATTAATGCGAAAGGGATCAGAGAGACTCTCAGCTCGCGGTCATTACAAAAAGGGTCACAGGCATTCTCCGGCTCGTAATTTTGTCCAATCGAGCGGCCGCCTCGTCCCACTATAATTCGAAGATGGTATAATACGCGTAATTACACACTTTGAACGTGACGAGAGACGCTTCGCCGAGAGCCGGCCGTCGCATCGAGTCGCACGCACTCTAATAGCTCTAACAGATCTACACTAATGTCGCTTCAACGGATGATGTGCTTGCAAGAGGGGAAGAATTTACCACGGATTTACGGAGGGGGGAAGAAAAAAATCAGCGAACGTGGATCAAGCTTGTATTTCACTACGTCGATCTCACTTCAGTTCCGTAAAATGAAACGCAACGCGTCGAGATCCCGGCAGCTCCTGGCGGGGTTGTATATAAGCAAGGAAATTGTCATGAGGAAAATCTCAGCCGGAGGAGGAGGGGAGGGGAGGGGGCGAAAGGTCCCTCGTCTCGTTCGCGGTGTGCCGAGAAAGTGAGAAGCGGGGAGAAGGGAACAAACGCCGGATGTTGAAAACGGCAACGCAACGTGACGAAACGAAACGGAAGTAACAGCACCACCTCTTTCGGAAATTCCTCGACGAGACTCAGTCACGTTTCCCGCGGCAGAGTATAACCCTTTTCTTTCTCCTCTCTCTTTTTCTCTCGTCCGATTTTCGGCCGGGCGCGCCCTTCAGCTTGTCTCGCGACGCGAATATAAAATATACATATAAATATATATATTTTATATATATATATATATATATACAATATATATAATGCAAATTTTTTTATATACCGAATGCTTCAGACCAGCCATATATCTCATTTAAAAATGAGAAAAGCGATTATTTTGAAAAATGTTTCAAACAAAAATTGTTGGGGATCAAGTAATGCATTACATCAAGTCGACCTTGACACAACGCTACCCAAGGTCAATCGCATACTCCCATGTAATGTATTACTTAATCCGCAACAACTTTGTCTGAAACAGTTTTCAAAATAATCACTCCCTTTGTTTTTAAACAGAGTGTCGAAAACTAACTGACTAATTTGTGCGGATATATAATATATATATATATATATATATATATATATTTATGTATATATATATCGAACTTTCCTTGAATGGTGAACGAGAATTTTGGTTAGGTGTGTGGTGTGATGTGAACACTACAGTCTCTACGCTATCACTAAGCAGGAGGCGGCATTCTGCGTGCCGCGGTCTCTCTCTCTTTCTCTCTCTTTCTCCCTCGCTCTCTCGCCCCTCGCTTCGTTATCTCCGTCACCCACGCGGCCGGCACGTTCATCCCTCTCGCTCGCTCCCGAGCTCCGGAGCTCCCTACTCTCTTCAG